ATTCTCCCAAGTGGTATTTGCTTTCCGACATCTTCTTGTAAGTATCTCTACTTGTAGGAACTGAGCACTTCGCAGTGTGATGCATCGATGCGCTAAGTGGGATTTTACATGATGTGCTTAGATATCAAAGAGCAGAGGATTATCTTTGGTTGTGACATAGATTGTATAGAAGATGGACATGCAGCTGCAGCATCTTTTGAAGCAACTTACGCTGTAATTCATTGTGTAAATATCAGTGATAATTGGTGTTGTTTGAATGCAGCTGGCTGATTTTCTGATTCAACGAAAATCATGTACATTTGATAGCATGCATTAGAGTTGACATACGTTTTTTGTCACACGAACAAAAAAACACATTTTTTGAACGATTTGTGTAAATAGTGAACAAATTCTGTTGTAAGGATTAGAATTTTGGAAAATGTCACAAGAAATATTGGAAATGTAAAACTGGCACAGGTTAAATGACAGGGCAAATAATGACACAGGTTAAAAGACAGGGGAAATAATGGCACAGGTTAAATGACAGGGCAAATAACGACACGGGTTAAAGACAGGGGAAATAATGGCACAGGTTAAATGGCACATGAAATATGTGAACGGGCAAAATGGTACAGGAAATAGTGGCACAGTTAAAAATGGTACAGGAAATAATGGCACAGTTAAAAATGGTACAGGAAATAATGGCACAGTTAAAAAGGTACAGGAAATAATGGCACAGTTAAAAAAGGTACGGGAAATAATGGCACAGTTAAAATGGTACAGGAAATAATGGCACAGTTAAAATGGTACAGGAAATAATGGCACAGTTAAAAAGGTATAGGAAATAATAGCACAGTTAAAATGGTACAGGAAATAACGGCACAGTTAAAATGGTACAGTAAATAATGGCACAGTTAAAATGGTACAAGACATAATGGCACAGTTAAAATGGTACAGGAAATAACGGCACAGTTAAAATGGTACAGGAAATAATGGCACAGTTAAAAAAGGTACAGGAAATAATGGCACAGGTTAAATGGCACATGAAATATGTGAACGGGTAAAAATAGTACAGGAAATAATGGCACAGTTAAAAAAGGTACAGGAAATAATGGCACAGGAAATAATGGCACAGTTAAAATGGTACAGGAAATAATGGCACAGTTAAAAAAGATACATGAAATAATGGCACAGTTAAAAAAGGTACAGGAAATAATGGCACAGTTACAAATGGTACAGAAAATAATGGCACAGTTAAAAAGGTACAGGAAATAATGGCACAGTTAAAAAGGTACAGGAAATAATGGCACAGTTAAAATGGTACAGGAAATAATGGCACAGTTAAAAATGGTACAGAAAATAATGGCACAGTTAAAATGGTACAGGAAATAATGGCAAGGGTAAAAATAGCACAGTTTAAATGGCCTAGGTGGTATTAATGGCACACACTTACACTGTTGCAAGACATGAACCCAAATAAAAATAGGTATTGCTTTTTAGCAAACCGACACTGGGGTATTTTAGTCACTTTTTATTATTGATCTTTTTTGTCATTAGTGCCAATTTGTAACGGTCATCGCCGAAATGTGAACATGCGTTGTCGTCTCTATGAAAAGATTTAGCGTGCATGTGCCAAACCGTCGGAGACATCCATATAGCAAGAATTTCACTATTATTTAAACCAGGAAGTGAAATCACATCATGTCACATCGTTTCCTATGAAATCAGCCTAAACGGTTTAGATGTCAGCAGAATAATCCGTCTAATCAAGCTTGAAGTGGTGAATGCACGATTACTACATCAACATTGATCCACTTGCTTCAATAGGGGCAATTACTTCAATTATGTTATCTCCAATTGAGTTATGTCGACGTCAATTCACTGGTTTAATTGTCGATATAGCAAATCAGTCTAATCATTGAATACATGCAAAAACGTGGACATCTTCATACACAAAATACCATAATGGGGCGGGTGTGCAAAATACCCGTTTCCATGGAAACAACCTCTTTTGTTAGTACATTTTACCTCTGAATGAATTATAAGTAGTTTGCGTGGAAAATATCTCCGGGTGGCAGTGTCCAACGTTAATTGGTTCATTTGATGAAACGCTGGCAAGTGGCAGTGTTAAGTATAGATGGATCCTAGGAAGATGCAATTCGATATACCTCCATTGACCTGTCGATAACCAACTCACAATCTATCCATCAGTCGAGGATCAATTAACAATCGGGTCATTTTTGTTCGCTTTATTAACCACGTTCAGAACAAATGGGAAATAATAATTAGAACTTGCATGCTAATGAAGTCGTGGACTATTGTAATTCGATTTTAAAGGGCTGTTGTCGACGCACAGCGCGTGTTCGAATTGATGATCGTTATCATCCTGATTTGCAGTGTTGTACCAGTTGATTACATTGCAATGAGCAGCATATATCATTTCATAGAGATTTGTAAACGTGTATATATGTATGTATGTTTAAACTTTGATAACTAAAGTTAGTTTTATCCATCATTTATGCACCAAAAATCAATCAAAGATATTGCTTGAACACGTCATAGATGAAATGAATGTGTAAATAGGTCAATTCTAAGAATTCGTATTTTAGTTAAAAGACACCGATAACGAACGCGCCTTCTTTAAATAAAGCGTTACCATGTTAACTGTTCAGCAAATATATATGGTGTTCATTGCATGCATTGACTAGAGTCATCATAGATTTCTCATCCAATCTCAGATAATGGATATCAAGAAGACAAATCATGAATTATTCATAATAAATCAATGCACTTGTTTGTTCTGTCATGCATTAAAGTGCTAGCAATCTGGCTCACTCTGATGGAGCTATATGATCAATGCAACATAATTTTTAACCGATTTTTTCTATTTCTATTTCTCGCGGGATTACAAAACGTTTTTATAAGTATACTTACATCATTTCCATATTTAGTGTTGATTACTGTAATATGCAAATAATATTAGTACATGATCTCGTACGTTGAATACGATGTTAATGACACACTGTTGTCAACGTTGGGAGACGCATTATGTCATAGTATTATTCTACGAAACATATTTTTTTCACTTCAATTACAGTTATTATTTATAGTTGTATAATTAGTTTTGATACCAATAATCCAATACGAAAACACTGTAAAACCATTTTTGAGAAAGTGTATTTGTAATTGTGCACTTAACATATAATCAACAATGATATGAATAATGATATTACACATCGATCCAGATACACAGTGTCCTTACTGTAATATATATTTCTTTGTCATACTTTTGATTTAATAGATAATATAACTGAATTCACGATACAATCAACATTTGAGACGTTAAAGATATTGTTTTCATCGGCTGCTAATCGTTCGAATGCATAATGTCTTATGCCAAATACATTTTTGTTACACACTTTTCTATCATTTCTTTGTTTATTTGGAATCAAATTAACATAATTTCAAATTTCTTACATGTTTTTTATGTCTGAAAAGAAGTTTAAAGGCAGGTTGTTTAGAATTTGACAGGTTTCTATTTTAAACCCAAATACTTTAATACCCAATAAGCAAAAGGCTAATGCAAAATGCGCATTACACACACAATAACGAAATATTTCTTTTTTATGGAAATGTCAAAATGCAAATGCTCATCACTGCAAAATTCAATGATGTGCATGGATGTCCGATATCGGCTTTGAAACAAGGCAAGAATGAAACCAAACCAAACCATACCATGTCACCGATGACCACATTTCCGACAGTATCCCAGATAAAAAGTTTGCGTTCTTTAAATCACTAATATTTGAGTCGCCTCAAACTGAAAACAATTTTAAGACCGACTTCTTTTAAACATCACACATGCCTACAGTACAAAACCTGTCTCACCGTGCGATATATGATCTATGGTTAACCAGGTAAATCCATTCAATAAAACACACCGTATCAATATGCTCTATTTCCTTCACATGTAGTCAACATTAGCTATTAGTGGTGCATGTATCTGATCGGGTAGAGTAAGAAGGGGTAGAAAGGGGGACACGAAGAGCTGCATATACAACGAATAACGTTTACGCATTACTTGTCCACGCGTACTCAACAGCTTTACACAACACTCATTCGTCGTTTCACTCATAAAGATAATATTTCATGGCATGAATACACATTATTGATTAAATATTAAAATATTCTGGATGAACTACGCGTTGGTTGGTAGTAATAGCTGCGTGCTAGCCGAGACAATGTTCTGACGGTATCGACGATTTGGAAATAAACATACACACATATCACACGCTAGGAATACCCGACGTGAAATTAGACTGTATGCGTGACTCCGTAAATACAGCATGAATGTGTTATGATTATAGCATCTATATTCACACGTCATAGCTCTAATCCATCCAATAACCCATTCAAATCATTCACGCACATGCACACTATAGAAGAGATATAGGCTCCACAACCATTTCGAAACTAAAATCGCGGGGTTTAACACGAAATAAAAATAACGATACGCCAAGACTTTCTCTAAAGTCAAATTATTCTGTCTGTAAATGAAAACTGTATCCTAACTAGTGCGGGTCGGAGTGCTGATATGTATCAGCGTAGAATCATTCGATGTTACTAATGACAACCTGA